TTTTTTTCCCATTCTATGGGTTCCCTTTTTACTCTTGGTGAAATTTTTTGATGCACATAAGTTCTCACTTTTAGTATGTTTCAATCATCTATTTTGTCTTCTTTTGTTGTGCAGTTCTCACAATGTTTGGTAGTCTGTGTGTGCCCTCTATTAGAGCCATTAGATTTGTCCCTATTTTTTCATTGATGATCTTTATAATTCTGGGATTCAAGTTTGTTCTTGAGATGATCTCTAAATCCAGTTGGGATATGTTCATGGTCATGGTTTGGCTTCCATAGACATGCATTAATTTTCTTGAACTTCAGCCTGAACTGGCGTATGAGCAAATGATGGTCTTTTCCACAGTCTGCCTGTGGCCTTGTTTGGCTTATGATATGGAACTTTTCCACTGCCTCTTCCCACAGATGTAGTCAATTTGATTTTTGTGAATGCTATCTGGTAATGTTTTTGTTACTTTTTATGTTGTTTCAAAAAGGTATTTGCAATAAAGAAATCATTGGTCTGAAATTGTATCATATGAGCACCAGAATAATTTCTGTCACGAAGGCCATTATTTTCCAACCATTGATCCTTCCACTTTGTTTTCAACCTTGGCATTACAATCTCCAGTGATTATTAATACATTCTAAATTTCATGTTTGATTAATTTCAGCTGGAACAAATGGGTAGAGTTATTCAATTTCCTCATCTTTGGCTTTAGTGTTTGTTGCATATTAACTGGTCTTCCTTGTAGTAGGCATATGCATGTTGTCCTATCACAGACAGCATTGTACTTCAAGGTAGTTCTTGAAATGCGCTTTTTGATGATAACTCTGATGCTAACCATCTTCAATTTGTCATTCCTTGCATGATGAACAATGTTATTATCAGTTTTAAAATGGCCAATACCTGTCTATTTTTGCTCACTAATGCCTAGGATATCTATTTTTATATGTTCTATTTCATTTTTGCCAACATCCTATTTTCCTAGATTCATACTTCATACATTTCCTGTTCTGATTATTAATGGGTGTTGCAGCTGTTTCTCCTCATTTTGAGTTTTGCACATTCAGCAAGTCCCAGAAGCTTTATACCATTCCATTCATCATGGAGAAAGCTCTTCCTCAGTTGTGTTTTCCCTAGTTGCTTTCCATCCTTAGGGTCTCATCTTCAGGTACTGTATCTGACACTATTCTGTTGCTATTTATAATGTTTTAATATTCAGTATGCTGGTGCGTTCTGGCAGTATTCCATTGTTATTCATAAGCTTTTCAGTTGCTCAACATTCAGAAGTAGTCTTAGTCTCCTTCTCCTAGTCTATCTTAGTCTGGAATGTCAGCTGAAACCTGTTCACCATGGGTGACCCTGCTGTACGTAAAATATGAGTGGCATAGCTTCCAGCATCTCAGCAATACCAAGCCACCACACTATGAGTAACTGACAGATGAATGGTGGATGACTGTATGGAACAGAATTTTTTTTTTCTTATTCAGAGGCTAGAAGGCCCAATTCAGGACGTGGTTCTAAGTGGGGGAGGTCCTTTTTTGCTTATTCTAGTTTATATGCCAC